GATTGTACTTTTTTGGATTAGTGTGAAGTAAGATTACTGTTCATTAAGGTGATTATTATTGATTAACTATCTTCATAAGGCGATCATCTACTTATATGGATCTAAAATCTTCCACGATGGGGTATTTCTTCAGGATGAATTTTCGCGATTATATATTGTTTGAGTGTTGGATTTATTAGTTAATAAATAAGCTTAACTGATTAAAAATGCCTATTTAAAATATTTTTTTCAAAAGAATAGTTACTGAACAAAGAATATTCTTCTGATCGATAACCTGCTCTTCGTCATTAGCTTCTATAGTTATACGTATCCATAATAGTGAATGAGTGAATTAGTTTTATTAACAACAACATTAATTTGGTTTAAATAAAATCAAATCTATAATGATAATAATAATAATATCAATGGATTACAGTTCTATGACATCAACATAACAATACCCTGAATAAATATCAGAAAAATTAGGGAGGATAATAATACGAATTCATGAATTTACAACCTCCACTTAAGGCCAGGCCGTAGTAGTGGCTGACTGGACCTGTCTCTCCTGCACGCACACAGAGCACCAGTTGTTTCAGACGAATTGCGACGGCGGCGTCTGCTGTTTGGAGTATTCGGTATCTGGATGTTTCTGGCAATTTATTTGTTACACAGTAAGATATTGATGGAGAAGGATTCTTCAATGGTGGCTTTGTGGCCGGCTGGTTTGAACCAGGCAGTATAAAGAGAAATTTGCATAGGAAAAGCAAATGGACAAGACAATATACATATCTTCACAGCTTCGTCCTTCTCCAGTAAAAAGGAAATTTAGTAAGAACCTTCAGCCACACAGTTATACATATATATATATATATATATATATATATATATATATACTCAGAAGACGTAACTGAGGATGAGCTAAGGATTGTAAATGATACCTTTATCGGTTAAAAATAGCTATTCAGACAAATTCATCAGGAAACACATGACTATGAAAGTTGAAAAGGACTATCCGTAAACAAGAAGCCTGTATACACACACACAACTGTAATTCAAGGCCGATATACCAGGCGAAATAACTATGAAGGAGTTGAGAAAATCAGTTCAAAGAACTTTCGATGCTGACAAACTACAGGTCATATTTTCTACACGACCGGTGGTGATTCCTTCATTGAAAGATGGAGCGCCTAGACAAAACTAGCCACTTCTAATTGAATCTACCAATTCAACCGCACTTGTGGTGGAGTGAGTTATATTGGCCGTTACTCTAGGAACTTGATTGTTCGTACTCACTCGGGAACATTTACCAGTGTGGTTAAATAAAGGTGTAGTGAGAACCATCATCAGCTGTTCGATATTAGACCACCTGGTTGAAAGCGACCGGCTATAAAGCAAATATTGAAGAGACCTTCTCCCTCATCATCTATCGGGTATCAATTAAATTGCCACAAACATCCAGGTGCCAAATACTCCTAACAGCAGACACCACTGTCGCGATTCGCCTGAAATAACCGGTGTTGTATGTGTATGCCTAAGCAACAGGTCCAGACAACCGCTATTACTGCTTTGACCGACCTTTAGTGGAGACCATAATTTCATGAGTTCTGTATTATTATCTTTCCTAATTTGTCTGTCTGATATTCAGTATAGTGCAGTGTTATGTTGATGCTGTCGAACTGAAATCCATTGATATTGTCATCATTACTGATTCGATGTTATTTAAACAATATTGATGTTGTTGTTAATAACACTAATTTATTCATTCATTCATTCACTATTATGTATGGACATATAACTGTAGAAGCTGATGACGAAAGGCAGATTATTGATCAGAAGAATATTCTTTGTTCAGTAACCATTCTTTTGAAAAACAATCCCGAGTAGTTTTGCATAATGTCTTTATTCACACACACACATGCAATCAATCTGTAATTCAATTGCCCTCTACAGAAAAGTTACTTGTCTCAACATGATCTAACAAAAATAAAAGTTATCTTTTAACTTTTACAGCCGTAGAAAACTCTGGAGAATTAGACGACTCTTTACGTCCATCTACACCAACTAAGACCTATCTGTGCAAAAATCGCGTTAACATAACATGTTACACACATACAGAATTATTGCCTATCTTAACAATTTTTCCAAGAAGCTACCAACAGAAGTGTAGTATTGCAAATATACTCCAAGGTAAATTGTGGTGTAGATGCATTCACTCTTTGTGATGTATTATCGTATCCAGTAAAACTATTCTTTTTTACCTTATATTTCTGTATATTATCTCTCTCTGTTTACTCTCTTCTCTTGCTTTGTGTGCTAAAAGGAGTGGGTGTGGCAACTTGAACAGCTGCATATCTGTGCAAAGCTCTACGTTGAAACCAGTCAGTCAGTAAGTTGTCACCGTTAAGTTGCAGAGAACAAAAGCCAATTGCAACTTATTCTAAAACTTTGCTTCTATAATGAGAAATTATATGTATATCAAAGAATTCTTAAATTTTTATCCATTAAATTCAAGAATTTCTTTTTCTCTAGAGAAAAAACTATTGATAATAATATTTATTAAACTGTTAGGAATTCTAGCCATTTATTCATGGTCATAAAATTAAATATCATAGTTTTTCTTCGTTTTTTCGTTCTTCGTTTACAGCGATATGATTCATTCATTTCAGGTGAGATCACAAACTGACCTCAAGTTAGAGAGAATCCTGGAGTGTACTGGAGAGCTGTTTTGTTCCTTCTTTGAGGCTATTCATCAGTACACACCTATGACTCCTCCGTCTTTGGACCGAGGACCTTCAGTCAATGGGTTCCATCGATTTTAACTTCTACCAGTTCACGACTTTTTTCCCGACCGTCAGTCAATGTTATCTGCGAGTATTTCATGTCAAATCCAACTAACTAACTTAATGGACTCCACTGGTCACGAGTTCCCCACCCACCCTCCCCCCACTAGAAATTCAGGTAACTTTATCTTGTTGTCACTAGATTAATTTTAATGTTTTTCGATTTCATCATGAACTGACACATCGGTTAAAGGATCATTGGAAAATCATCACTGGGACCCAATCCATTCGCTAGTGGTCACGCCACATAACGTGGATTGGCAGAAGTTGAAATTCATGGACTGACTGGCCACTGGATCGACGGGTCCCAGTGGCTGATGAATGGTGTACGGGCTAGCTCACCTTGTAACCGCAAGGCCTGGGTTCGAACCCTGGCAGTATGATGGGTGTGTACTGCTAAAGAGTCCCAAACTAGGCTGACGAAACAGTTGTCCAGTACTCTCAGGTTTTCTGGTGGTCCTGTCTAATCAGTGTCAGTTTATAATGAAATCCTGAAACCAATCAAATCCCTACAAACCAACACTTAAATTTCAAAGTTTTTGGTTTTCACGGGTTTGAACTGAAACCAACTTCGTAATCAACCTTTTTAAATATCATATACTCTTGTCTTAGTTATCAAGTGCTTGTAATACCATCCCCAACCACTTCCTGCCACTCCCTAAACAAGTATGTACTCAATACACAACAACATAATACTACACAAGGAAACAAACAAACAAAGGGTTGTCATTTTGATTGGACACTAGTAACTAGTGTGATGTGTCTAGTCCCTCCTTTCTTTGGTGCGAACTGAATTCTATCAGTCAGGTTTTTGTAATATGGCCACCATTCTAGGTAGCTCGCCATCATGGTGCACATTGATTTGATGATATTAGATGGTTGGAAGCAATCTGCCACAGGAAGCTTTGAGTTCCTTCAAGACAGTTGCAGATACACCTGCCTTGCTGAATAGTGAGTGCCAACTAGCACGAAACCTAGGTTGCGTCGAAGGCTTCCTATGGCCGATTGCCTCCAACCATCTAATTTCATCAAACTAATGTGTACCGTGATGGCGAGCTACCTAGAATGGTGGCCACATTACAAACCTGACTGATAGAATTCAGTCTGCACCAAAGAAAGGACTAGACACATCACACTAGTTACTAGTTTCCAATCAAAATATCCACTACAGTCCTACAGGAGGTCAATCGCGAGCCCCAAATAGCTCAGTGATAACGTCTCTGAATGCAGGCGGCACTGGGTGACGCAGGTTCGAATCTCAGAAGAGATATGAGTTCCTTCAAGGTTGCAGATACGCCTTGCTGGACTGGTGAGTGCCAACTAGCACGAAACCTACGTCCAAGGCTTCCTATGGCCGATTGCCTCCAACCATCTAATATCATCAAAGGGTTGTCAACCTATCCACCCTGAAAACTACACACACACACATACACACATACACGTTATGTCGGATAAACTGTGCACATACGATAACTACTGCTATCACTGCTATCATCATCAGAGATCTCGCCTACGTGCTAGGCGCAGCACGTGTACACGCACACGGCAGCACGCTAAAACGCAAAATCAGAACAACACTTGTATGAATTCACCACACAATAACTTTATTTATTTTTTTCATTTGCTTTTGTGTCACTGACATATTAGATAAATGACAAGAATAAAAAATAATATTAATAATAATAATAATAATGACAATAATAATAGTAATAATAATAATAATCAGCAAACTGGTCACATTATTTATGAAATTCCTGAGTAGACAGTTAGTATTTCTTGCATATATAGATAGATATAGATAGATATTTGGGAAATTCGTCTTCTTTCTTTCTTTCTCATCTTCTTCAACTGCATGTTTTCATCTCAAATACACACTCGCAGAGGGCCAGTTAGGAAATGTCGGGAAAAAAAAGGAAAGAAAGAAAGGAAGAAAGCGATAGGTAGATAGGTAGCACATCATTTTGAGCATAGACGCACACACACAAACACTGACACACACACACACAAACGAACAAAGAAATAAAGGTGGAAAGAAGACAAAATAAGAATACATTAATGCGCGGATTAGATTCGATCAGATTAGATTAGGGTATTTTTGTAAAAGCACACATTGCTGACAATTCAGTGAAGTGAAGAACACAAGCGGGCGTGTACACTCTCTCTCTCTCTCACACACACACACAAAGATACACTCACAGACATACATAGAGAGAACTAGGCACAATTACGAAAGAACACTTAGTCCATATATATGTAGATTTATATCATCAGTGAATAGGGGACTGGAATCAACACGACGAGGAGGACGACGAGGGCGAGGAGTGATGAAAGAGAGAGAGAATTGAAGTGTCGGGAGGAAAAGAGGACAAGAAGAAGAAGGCATTAAGAGGAGTCAGAACACAACACAATGATGATGATGATGATGACGGCGACGAGGACGACGAATAACGACGATGATAACGGCGCAAGAGATTAATAGCTAGCTACAATCAGGAAGGATAGATGGATACTTAGTCTTTTTCTCTCCTTTTTGCATTATTATTAGTATTATTATTAGTAGTAGTAGTATTGTGCTGAAGCGGATAAATGAATCTCTCTGGACAGGCTTCAAAAAGACACACGAAAAAGACAACAATGGAACACCAAGAGTATGCGCATGTATTATATATCGAAGAGAATAGAGTAGAATAGAATAGAATAGATAGATAGGTATGTATGCGGGGGTGTATGTGTGCATAAATGATTAGACCTAACACAGTCTAAGTATAAGAGGTAGATTATGATGATGGTGGGGTGGGGTGGGGTGAACACATACACACACACACAATACTAGTAGACAAATATAGACTTGTGAACAGAGGTGGGAGGTTGTGGGGGCGGAAACAAAAAGTGAAATGACAATTATTATGTAATTATTATTATGTAATATTCCTGAATTTTTGCATTTTGCATGGTATTGCATCGTTAGCACAGTTTTCTTTGTTTGTTTGTTTAAAAAATATCTTATTTTATCATTTATTGTTGTCAGTAGTAATTAATACAAGTAAGTAGTATAATAAAGGTGTTTTTTAAAAAAAAGACTGATGTCTGAAATATATATCTACTCAGATACTCATAATAATAATGATATTAATAACAATAATAATAATAGTAGTAGCAAAGAATAGTACCCCTGATAATAGATTGGTAATAAATCCCTGTTGAAGAAAACAAAAGCATCAAAAATTGGAAAGCTTTGTCGACATATACATACGTATATAGATATATAGATATTAGATAATGGAAAGTGTCACATATAATAATAGAAGTAGGTGGTATATATTCCCCTGATTAGTTTTCGCTTCTCAGCTCAGCTCATCTCATCTCAAATCAGTGTGTGTAGCACCCTGTCTGGGCAGAAGAAAAAATAGAGGAAGGAGAAGAAATGAATTACACAACACGCACAAAGGAAGGATTGGCCGTCATTTATTGAAATAAAAAATTAAAAAATATGGAAAGGAGGTAAGTACACGTATAAAATTAGATGATAATATTAGGTAGGAAAGTGTATATAGAGGAGTGTACACATTGTATATATATCTATCCATCTATCTATTTGTCTGAATGTGTATAATAATGAATAGAGAAGAATTCGAAGAAACCGATACGAAGACATATACTGGCACTCATTCACTCACTCGCACACACAAACATACACAAACGCACAGACAAAGGGAGGTGGGAGTGTTATACAAGTAAGAAAACAAGAGACTTTCCCAGCCCCTACTCCCCACCCTTATAATAAATGGGGAGGGGAGTTATTAATTAAAGGGAATTTCTCATACCTGAAGAATGTGAATGCATCCTTCAAAAGGAACTTTCGAAGAAGAAGAAGGGGAGGAGAAGGAAGCAAAGATCGAAAGGAAGATGCAACGACTACCAACATTATTATTATTATTATTATTCGAGTAATAAATAAAGTTCTTTCTTTAAAAAAAAGGAAAAGATATGGCGCAATTTTTTTATCTTTTCTTTTCAATGACATAATGATTATTATTATCAATATTATTAATATTATGACAGTAATTGACTTCAAATGACAAAGACAAGAGAAAAACACACGAGAGAACACTGTGACAGGGTGTGTATGGTGGTGGTGTGGTACACCGTCTGGAGAAATGAATGACTATTTCCCAAAGAGAAAGACAAAGAGAAATATTAAAATAAATAGATATAAATTACTGACTGAGTGTACACAAAAGTTATAAAGAGAAAGACAATACGAAGAAGAATGAATGAATGAAAATGATAAGGAATCAAGGAACAGCCTGGAGAGGAACACGACCAAATAGTGAATGAACGAATGAACGATGGTTCAAAGATTGAAAGATACGATGATGAAACGCGGAGGAAAGAGAACACACACATTGATGAATCAACCTATTCAGAGGTGTGTGAGAAGGAGAGAAAGAGTGTACATAAACACTCTTCATAGTTTTTTATTTTCGTTTACATAATTGAAAAAGAATGCCGGGATAGAACAACACACACACAAATTACAGCACAAACGAGGCTAACTTTATTATTATTATTGTTTTTTTAGCAAAAAAAATCAATCAACACAAGCAGCAGTAACAGCAATAAAAGTGATGACACCAGACAACAACAACAATGAGGAGGAGGACGACAGTAACGCCGACGACTAGCGAGATGGCGAGGAGGAGGAAGAGGTGAGGAAATAAAAGCTGACGGATTTGTTTTTACCACGATGGTGTATCTCTCTATCTCTCCTCATCCCTGGCGCTTACCAACAACAGACAGTAAACATGTTTGTAATATGCATAAAGTACCGAAGAGGGAGAAGAAGAAGAAGAAGACGAAGAAGAGAAGACATCGGGGTCAAATGAAGTAATAGTTCCCTGTGTATTTTCTTTTTGTATACATCAAAATCACAGCTACACGGGTATAACACATATACATAGACAACATCCAGGAGTAATACTGTAAAAACCGGCACAGAAAACAAGAACAATGGAGAGTGAGTCACTGAGTGAGAGACAGAGAAGCGAGGAGGGGCAGTTGGGGGAAATACTGGGGAGGGGGAAAGGAGAACACACCTGACAAAGAAGCTGAAGATGACAGTAAAACAAAAAAAAAGACAATTTGTGTTATACACGCATTCAGCAGTACAACAACTTACATATATAGATGTGTATATTATATCTATATATCATCCCTGACTTGAAAATCGTGAGTGTATGTGTGTAATGTGTCTCTATTAAAAAGCACTTGTATAAATATATAAAAAAAACGAAGAGTTATATAAAAAAGTAATAATAATAGTCATAACAATATATAACTGCAATGATCAACATCGACATCACCAGCATAATCGTCATTATTAATCAGAGAGAGATAGATGGAGGTTAGGAAGTCTTTCACGACTACACATAGAGAATGTACTTTTATTCCACTGAGTAAATGCTGCGCGGGATGTTATAAAAGAAAAAGGAGAGAGAGAGAGAGACAAAAAAGATCGGTATTATGTGAAGGAACCATTGAGTAGGAGTACTCGAACAATTACTGACACACAATAAAACAGACAGTGCATGTGTGAAGGAATGAAGGAATCAATGAATAAGAAAGATACAAAATAACAAAGAGAAGAAGAGGTGTTAACAGGAACACACACAATCGAGAATTATACACGTTATGTGTAAGCGTGTAAAGGAAGAAGGAAGGAATACACAGAGAGAGATAGAGAATTAATTCACTGAATAAGTAAGTAAACAGCGACAACGACGAGGAGGAGGAGATTAGTACAAAAATATACCAGAGAACAAAGAAGATGTGAACACCACTCAATCAATCAATCAATTAATCAATCACTGACAATGATTATAGTAGTAGCGGCAGTAATAATAATAATAATGGTTGGGCAATATTATAGAGAGAGAGGGAGAGAGTAGATGCCACCGTTATAGGCTGAGAACACACAAAATAGACGAAATAGTCACAATCAATTATTGTATTTCTTTATTATTATTTTTTTTCACTGGATATATATATGCATATAATATACGTCGTACTATATATAGGTAGATGAATTCCTGCCGATAATACACAGAATGCAGTGTGTGTATGTGTGTTAATGAAGAAAACCGAAGAGATGATACAAATCAAGCGAGAACAAGAACAACGACAGTAGGACAACAATGCGTCTCATTTAACACAAAATCATTTATTACTACAACAATGATATTGCTCCTCCGCCGCTGCCGCCTGCTTCGACTCCTCCTGAGGTTCAAGATAAACTCCTCTTTTATGAATGAGAAGTGTAGAGAGCTGATGCTATATATTAGTGTAGTTATTCTTCGTCTTATTATTATTATTATCATAATTATCAGGAATAATACGCACAAACACACACAAAAGCACAAAAAAGGGAAATAAATAAAAAATTTTTTTTAAAAACTCAAAGTGAAACCGTGTTAAAAGTACACAAAACAATTTTACCTGACTCGAGATAGAGAGACAATAAAGCGCAGTGATGGTGGTGGTGGTGTTGGCGATATAAGAAACAAAAATTTTTCACAAAGAATATTTTCCTTTAAAAAAACAACTCAAAAAATGGATAAATGGATAAATGTAAAAGTAGGATGGGATGGGATCAGAGGGGGAGGAGGCGAGGGAGTTAGACTCCAACCCCTGGCGCCAAAATTGAATGAATTCCTGAAGTGTGTTTGTGTTTATATTAACCGGTGGTTCGTAGCTTTATGACTGTCATTCATTGTACACTTTCACTCAATCAATCAATCAATCACTCATTCAGACATTGAATGGGTAAATAATCAATTTCGTGTGAACCGGGGTTATCTGTGTGGGCGGGGGCGGGGGTAAAGTTGGATTCATAATAATAAGAAGAATAAGAAAAAGAGTAATAGTAGTGATAATGATAATAATAGGCGCTATTAAAGTTTTTTTTCATTTCACACTTACATTCCCCGTTTTGTATAATAATTACAGACCTGAATAGGTAGGTTTTATCAATTTAGGCACGCAGGCACTAGAGAAGACAATAAATAATCCTGCTCAAAAATGTGTGTGCCACAACAGTGCCACGACAGATGGGACGGGAGATAAGGGAAAGACAACAACTCTTGGTTAGACACACTGGCAAGATACACTGGTGGTGGGTCAATATTATATGTATATAACTGGCAAAGTAGAAGTAACAGTAGTGACCAAATGATAAAGATGTACTTTGTGAAATTGGGCTTCCTCTCCATCCCTCTCTCGCTCTTTCTCTCTCTCTCTCACACACATACACACACAGGAAAACCGTCTCATCAAATCCTCTACAGGAAGAAGGACAGAGAAGAGGGAATATTTTTTTTAAAAAAACACAGTAAAAACAAGTAGTAGTAGTAGTATTAATAATAATAGTGAAAGATGAATTCGGAGGTTTATGCAAGCTGCCTTCAAATACACACATAGATTTATTTATATAAATGTAAATAGATAGATAGATATCAATATATTATTATTATTATCATTTTCGATGGAAGATTTATATGAATCTCCAAAACATAGAATTAAGTTATTACGTCATCACCATCATCATCAGCAACAACAGGGACAACAACCACAACATCAATTCTTCCACATTTCTTTTTTCGATTATTATTATTATCCCAAACCAAAATAAGAGAGATATTCCAATAAGTGATGATTAGGAATGGGCATTGTAAATTTATATGATTAATTTGGTGGGCATCCAAAACTCGAAGTGATTGGATTACTTACTGACGTGACAAACACTCGTACTGCCAACAATTCGATCAGCCAACTCTAAACTCAATTCCAACTCCAACGGTTCACAGTCATCTTCATAAGACGATGCAGTATTAGTATTAGTATTAGTAGCAGTAGTAGTATTATACGGTTCAATATATTGTCGCATTTCTCTGTATGTTGTACAATCGCCAATAATAGTAGACGGAGGACGTGAGGATTGACTTAGATTTGGAGTGAATGCTGAAGCTGAGGCTGCGGCCGTGGCAGAAGCAGGAGGCGATGATGCTGATGATGTTGATGACGACGACAGTGGTTGTGGTGATGATGACGAATTTTGTTGTTGTTGTTGTTGTTGTGTTGTTTCATAGGTAGATCGACCTAATTCGCATAATTGTTCTGTCATTGATGTATCGTTACCGTCATTATCTTGCTTAGACTGCTGCTGCTGTTGTTGTTGCTGTTGTTGGTGTTGATAAGATGAAGACTCCATATTGAAAAGTGATGTCTGTGGGAAATACATTAAATCTGGTGGTGTTACTGGTCCCAGGGATCGACTGGCATTCTCTATAACACCACCACCGCCACCACTATTTTGTACTGAGCACGATAACGATGATGAGGATGAAGATGATGTTGATAAAGTTGGCATAGAATGATCAACAACTGTTGACCGTTGAGAATCATTATGCGAATCGTTGAACAGGCGCATATCTAATCCCAATGATTGACGCCATGAATTCGCTGATGACGTATTATTGTTATTTGTTGCTGGTGATGATGTAGTCGGTGTAGTCGGACCATGAGATGCTGACGATGAACAGGAATTTAGGAACGGCAGTAATTTACCGCCATCATTGGATGATGAATGTAATAAGTGTGATGTATCATAAAATGAAGCAGTGAAACTATTGTTAGCACCACCCCCACCACCTATCGGTGTAGATGAACTTGGTGGATTATAATGTCCACCACCAACTGGATAGAAGCATGATCCTGTTGCTGACGAAGCTGATGAAACCGATGAACGATAAGCTTGCCAGTAAGATTGAGCTGCAGCCGCTGCAGCTGCCGATGAACCATGATGTTGTTCATTACCGCCACCGCTTGTTAACAAAGGTACTGGTAATAAATGATGCGCTGATGCATTTGATGATCCACGTGATGGATTATTATTAATATGACTGAGAAGGGCAGCAGCTGCAGCACTTGAATGTTGTAATGATTGCTGCTGCTGCTGTTGTTGCTGTTGGTGTTGTTGATGTTGTCTAAGTAATTCCATATGAGATAATGATGATGCTGCCTCAATTGTACTATTATTATTAGATAAATAATCTGAACAATTTAAAGTATCCATTTGTTGTAGTGAATTGCACATACTTGTATTATTACTACTACCAATTGTGAAAGAAGATTTACCAGAGTGACATGAAGGAAATAAATTTGTAGGATAATGATCTGAGGATAAACGATCTATGGTATGCATTGATGAAGAATTATTCATTCCAATAGTATGATCATTACGTAATAATTGTTCAATTAATCCACTTGTACGACCACTGAAATAGAATACATAGGTACGGGGAGGTGGGGAGAGGAGGAAGAAAACAAAAGAAGAAGAATTAAAAAATTATCTTTATATATATGTAATAATCAAAAAATATTCCAAAACTTATATTTTCAAATATTGTTATTGTTTATTTAATTGAATTTTAGATTTTCCCGTCAATTGATTGATTGATGGAACCGAAGTGCTCGGTCTCAGGTTGACATGTCAGCTCCTCCTTTTGCAGATGCTTCGACGATGTCTGATAATGTAACTAGCAGTGGAATCCAGGATAAAGTGCATTTCGTCCTATTTGGGACTCGTCATCTGGATGTGCCTACATTCCTCAGTGTGCCCATAGTTTCAAACGCCAAGACGGGTTATCCACTAGACCACTTGGGCCACGAGAGCCACTGTCTCTTGTGCAACGGGTCATATGAATTATTTAATTGAATTTTAGATTTCCCCGTCGATTGATTAATCTGACCACCAGAGTCATTATGTGAGCTTAACAAGTCTATAATAAGCATAGTTGTCAAAGTACGCCATCATCACATAAACTATTCGCTACCTCCCTTACTAATTAGATTTATTAAAGACCAAAGTTTAGAAAAAAACCTGGAGAGAATTATAACATTTTTAATGAAATATCCAAAAATAAAATTTATCGGTATTATGTTGAGCGTCGGTGGCATAGCGCTTAGGACGCTCGCCGACCATGTACATGGTCCGGGATTCAATCCCCGGCCGACGCACTCCTTTACCTCATTAAGCCAGAAATAACGCTGGTGAAGAGGAAAGGTTTGGCATGAGGCTAGCAACCCCATCCTGTAAAATAAACACTGCTACAGAAACTTCAAGCCTCTAGCTTGAAGCCCTATGCTCCACTGGGGAACATGAAGGAAAAAAATGTTGAGAAACTCTACTTTACACCTTACCTAACTTTTATTAAGATGTGTACACAAATCAGGTGTGCTTACGATTGTGAATCATTGGGGGCAATGAAAAACAACACAATTACACACAAAAGCCACTGATGAAAAGTCCCAAACTGGGTTGACGAAACAGCTAGCTGTCCAGTACTCAAGTGCTGGTTTTCCAATGACCATCTAACCGATGTGTCAGCCCATGATGAAATCCTGTAACCAATCAATCAATCAATCAAATACCTACAAACCAATTACTTGAACAAGAACCTATTTGTTCAACAGATATGTAGAAGAAAATGGAGATGGATCGGACCGTTGAGCAACATCTCATGCCAAGCCATCGCTCGAGTGGAACCCGAATTGGAAACGACATGATTGGGCATGAATCCGGGTGTGATTTGGAGGAGGAGATGTCAGATTGTGGTGGGCTTGCAGAAAAGGTTGATGAAATGGAGATATGTGTGCTGTTGAGCCCCCCCCCCTCCTATGTTCCACTCGGTAACCAAGGCGAGAACAACAACAGTAACAATAATAGCAGCAAAAAGAATCTATACTACTATCATAAAAATACGTAAACAAGTAGTATATATTTCCTTCTTCCCCTAAGAAATCAAGCAGTACACAACAACGCGAGATATATATAGGTTTATCACATGATATTAATGGCTTGGTAAACTCGTGAATAGATCACATGGTAACAAAACTATGTGTTCTAACCACTCTCTCGCATAATCCATACATACACACATACATACATAGATTGATACACTCTAATCCCTACAGCCCACGGCAAGCAGGCAAGCAGGCATGCATGCAAACAGCGTGTTAAGCACGACGCCAGACCTGATTTGATTCAAACTGACAGGTACTGGACGATGAGTGTGAGTGGACGAATGCACACATTGATATCTCTCTCTCACAGTCATAACAAACAATAATAATAATAATATTGATGATCATAACAATAATAAGAACGGATCAAAACAGGAATAATTATATTATAGAATTTGCTTCCTCTTCATCATTAGATATTATATGATAGACACACACACACACTCACACACGCATATAGGCACACACACAGTTGGATATACGCTTGTGATAATATAATATATATATATCGACAAAAAATATGCGTATAAGTCAGTCGAATATATAAATAAATAAATAAATAAATAAATGAGCGTAAATAAGCAAAATAAGAGATACATCGAAATCACCAACCAACACGCACACGAACACACACACACACAATAGTGCATCATCATAATCATATGATGCGAAAACAAACTCTTGTTTATCTGTCTGCTAGCTTGCCATCACCGCCACAATCTCTCCCTCTCCTTCGCTCTCTCTCTCTCTCTCTCGCCTATATTCTTTAAAGTACAAATGATTATTTATTATTGTTATTTTCATCATCATCATCATCGAGACACGTCGCAGTGTTGTTTACTTGTCCCTCTATACGATGATAAAATTTGCCATAACATAAAGTCAGTTTAAGAATATTCGGTAGTTCCTACACCAACTAACTAACTGACGGAGTATTCGACAGGCTCTTGTCGTCCAAAATGGGTCTAGTGGAACTAGACACTGTGGCGCTTTTGAAACGATAGATGTGTGTAGTGGGGATTAGGTCAGTATTCTTTTTTCTCTCTTTCTAATAGATCGAATGTTCCCATTTCTGTTGACATGTCAGTCCGTATAGTACGGGAGGCGGGGTGTGTGGTGTGGGGGTCGATGATGTATGAGGATTAACATCAGAGGTTAGTAGTGACTAGCCGTATGGAAGCCAAGAGGCGCACATCTTTATAGTTGGGCATTATCTTCAAACCTCCAGTTGGAAGAACAGCATCACTTACTGAGGATTGCAAGTACACAAAGATTGTGGTGGCCGAAAGATAAGGAATCCAATGAAAATAGTGGTTGTTATGTGAGATTGTAAAGGACTCAACTTTGGACCGCGCGCAACGAACGAATCTGTTTCTCTCTCTCTCCGGCTGCTCGCTCATCACATCTGCCGACCAACTCTGTCTCGCACTGATCGACACATCCACGTTAAGATATTTTGCTCCAACCTGCTTTTCTCTACGTGGGAGATCGCCGACGGTTGACATCTCTAAGGTGTAGTTGAGGATTTGCATAATCAAGAAAAGGACAATTTCATCCCTATTATTTCGTACGTCTATATTTTGAGTATTTTGTGACTATTATAGTTTTTTTTTCTTCAAATAACTTCATTATTTTTGTGTATACTAACTTAAGTGAACTGAATATCTTATATATGTATATATACATATTCGTTAGTATTTGTTCTGTCCTTTTTAATCGCGTGTATAGACATACTTAGTTGCTAGGTCCACTACAAGATGACGAGGCTTGAATAAGAAATAAATACATCTGAGACCCTAAAACGTAAGATTTTTAATAAAGCACGAATTAGGCTGGTGCCATTCAAACCTACAAACTCACTCGGGCAGGACAAGCTCTGTAGGCTAAAAGACCCGGTGGACCCAATTAAACAAAATAATATAGTTTACAAAATACCTTCTAAATGACTGTGAGTGAGGTCAACTACATAGGTCAAACTAGTAGATCGGACGGAGGTGGTCAGATTGTCGGAACATAAGAATTTAGCTAAGATAATAATGGTTGACCCTGAGAAGATAAGTAATTTAGAAAACAGCTCATCATTGCATTGCACTGCATGCATTAACACACAACCACAAAATAGGGTGGGAGAGGGTTAAAATTCTAAAAAGTAATATAGGTAGATTGCTAACGAGAGAGGTTGATTACTGAACCAAGTCTACACCCAACACATGCAACAGAAATGACTCAATGCAAATACCAGAGATATGCATGGAAGATATTATTACCACCAGTCAGTCAGTCAAATCAGAGGAGGATAATAAATTATCTTAAATTGTATTCTATTTCAATTCACGTACATCACAACATTCTAACAAGTTACTTATTATGACTATAGAAGACACTCGTCTTATTTCCCATCTGATTGTACTTGATTGATAACACTCACATTATTATTTCTGAATGTACTTTATCCTACATTGATTTTTATTCAAATGTCTAATCATCAATTCCACTCATGTATATAAATGAAGCAAGAAAGTTGTGTCAGTGAATGACTTGATATGATTATGAGTGGCAATAATTTGTGCTCGAGACGTGGTCATCAGTAAATATTACTGTATAACATTACACTATGTGACACTTTATCAAAATAAAATCTTATCCATAATGGAGTTATACTCTACCGCCACAGTGTCCAAGTTTTATACTTATATCAATAACGCATCCATTGAATTCCGCTGCTAGTCACTGACTGACTTCAACGTAGAACTACTTTGTACAGATGTGCATACCAGTTCAACATGCCCCACTCTCCTTCCACGTACCACACAAACCAACAGAAGAGAGTAAAAAGAGAGGAGGTTTAAAACAGGAAACAGATAATATACAGAAGTGTGAGTGAGTGAGTGAGTGAGTGAGTGAGTGAGTGAGTGAGTGAGTGAGTGAGTGAGTGAGTGAGTGAGTGAGTGAGTGAGTGAGTGAGTGAGTGAGTGAGTGAGTGAGTGAGTGAGTGAGTGAGTGAGGCAAACAGAATAGTAATGTGGAAGAACAATAGAATTTTATTGGATACTATAATAAATCACAAAGAGTGAATGCATCTGCGCCGGCCATGGACAACGACGATTTTGAGCCAGCTATATCACCAATTGTCTCTAGCCCCCACCATTGGTTATTTACCATCCCGAGAACCCAAACCAGTCTGTCAGTCAGGAAGTCTAAACCTCCCTCTCTACGTGACTGGTTGGCTAGCTGGCTTAAACTAACTGTTGTGGATGTATTTATTGACTGGTGATGAAGCTTTATTTTCTTTTGAGCACCACTAGCTCTTTTGCAACTTAATCCCTCCTACGTCAGCTACCATTCATTGCCCGTTGTAGAGGAAGGCGATCGATGGCCAGGCTAGGCAAGTCATGCGTAACACATGTCCTAAGCATCGATGTAACTCCACAGCCACTTCGTCGATTGATTCCTCCTCCAACTACTCACCTAG